TTCATGGAGGTCCTCAAATGTTTGTAATTTTATCTGTCATTTTAATAAATCTGAAGTCAGCAATCGTAAAAAAACAAACAAAGCAAGAGCCAAATGCTGCTTTTCTCCCATGCAACATATCATTTCATGACACGCAAAAAAGAGAGACATGAATGGGACATCTGTGAATTCATTTCCAGTCTTTTTTTTTAACTACAGAGAAGCCCAAATCTGCAACATGAGTTCATTTGTTCTTCATTTAATTTTGAGTAGCTTAACTAATCATAATTAATGCCGTATTTGCGCACCACTGAGCATGGAACGAGCTCTGCAGGAGTTGCAGATGTATCTGCAGTTTTCAAGTGACTTTGCAGCTTGAAGCAGGGTGAATCACAGCTCAGATTGCAGCACTTTATCAGCTCTTTGACACCTGAACTTTTCTTTTTTTTTTTAAAAAAAAATGATTGCTTTCTTTACTGAAGAAACACAATGATAATCTATAGCCAGCATCAGTTTGAAAAAAAAACTCACACCAAACAAAAAGCTGCTTTTGTTTATAGTAGCTCCAAAGTGTCACATTTATATTTGTCCTTCCACCAAAGTAAATAAAAAAGCTAAAATTTTCACTTCAGTCAGAGTGACTGAAATCACCATCCAGGGACCATTAAAGGGAAATGCATCTTAAGGGTTAATGTGCTGATAAATCCCAGCAATACGATTTTGCTTGGTGTAAAGTTAACAGCTTTTTTCAGCCAAAAAGCCACACAGAAAACAGGCACCTGCAAAACTAGTGTTGACTTCTGTAAATGATTTAGTTTCTATAGTTTTCATCCACAGTTAGCATATATAATTCTGACACAATGCGGATATTAGGGGCAGATTTAGTTTAGTTGGCTGTTGAGAAAGTCTCCATTCATGCACAACAACAAAAGCAAAAGGGGACAATAAGCTTGAAATGGGACATTTGTGATTATCTACCCCTGCACGCAGATCTGACAGGTTTTTGTCTTTGGTAATTTTCCACCTGCTTCATGTACTTTATCATTTATTTAACAGGTTTGTTTATATTGCAGTGTAATTTTATTTTAACAAAGCAATAGAATAGAAATGCACTTTCTGATCTTCCTCAAATAAAAACCAGATTTGCATTGGGGAAAAGCAGCAAGAAAGCCAACAGATCAACATTTCACATGTTGATGTGCGTGCTCTTTAACATTCTTTAACAGATGAAAATACAAATTTGAAAATGTTCCTTTTGAAAGCAGGACCACACGTTGTGACCGTACTGCATGCAGCTATCACTTTCCTATGAATACAGTAATCATCCAATGTTGACTTCCACGATGGCTCCCTGTGTGATTAGAAGCATATTTGATATGAAAATACAAAGCTTCCATAGTTTGAGTGGCATTTTCAAATTTAGGACAAAGTATGTAAAACAATGAAAATGCAAATCATGCCTGTTTGGCAGGTAGTAGAAGACAGGACATTGCCATCACTCATAGAAATGGTTTTGGTGTACTGTTGGCCTTCATTTGGTTCAGACAATTGAGTCTAAATGGCTTGAAAAATGTGTCTAGTTTCAGTAATGTACATTAAATGTTCTCTGCTTTGTGTGCCTCTCTGTTTGACAGGCATCGTAAGCCAGGTTGATTAGCATAACTTTGTTTTCCAAGATAACGGATGTGTAAAACTGGCAGAAGTCGCAGCACGTGTACTGTATAGATTCGGTTAATTAAATATCCACATGAAGAGTTTTGTTCCAAAGTGAAGAGATAAAAATCACATTATCTCTGCATATAGCATCATAACGTCTAGTGTGGAAAAAGTTAAACAAATCTTTAACAGATGTAATAATCAAGTTTCAAGATGATATTCCTGTTCTTTTGAAATGAAACTCTCCATCACAAGCTTTGTCAGTGTGCTGTGGACTTTGTAATGATTTATGGACCAGCAATGTTTATTCCCCACTGACTTTGACTGATGTTTGAGTTCTCTCTGCCAAAGCCACTTCTTCCATTAGAAATCCAATGTATTGTTTCTTATATTTAAGTATTTGTGCATTGAAGAATTCAACATTAAATTTCATTTTTTTAAATGACTGATAATTGAAAATGAATGCATACCTTTCAATTTATTTGATTTTCCTACCAATGTTATTTGATTGTATAGTTACAGTAGGAGCTGTAGGGAGACCAAACTACAAATGAATTGTGAAGTTATTATGGAAAGCCAGTATATTATAGGAGCAAAACGCTGTTCAGTTAGCAGGTGTTAAATGTATTAATGTCCTCAAAGACAATTTGCTGAAATGTAAAATGATCAAAATAAACATGGACACACGCAGATCTTTTCCCTGGTTACTTTTCTGTTGTTTCTGTCTGTTTAAGTTTGACCTCTAAGAATATCACAGCATTTGAGCAGATGTCGCCATGCTTGTTGAAGCTACAGAAATTCAGTAATCAAGATCAATTTCCTCTGAGTGAGTCTGAGGACAAAGAGGCCACACTTTCAAAAGAAGTGTCCTCACTAAAGTAAAACAGTACTTCAAAAGACTTTCGTTTGACTCCTGTGCTCCTTCAAGTCGATATGAGCACAGTACAGTACAGCTTACCCATTCTTCTGCTCTGGTACCATGTATTGCCAGCTGGTCTGTTACTGGCCTCAAACATATCCGTGGCAGATTCATACTGCATCCCCGCCCGCTCTTTGGCTGTTATGAGATCCCCTTTTAATGCCATAAGGCCCCAAAACCAGTTGTAATGGTTTGTTTATCCACACCAAGGAAAGCAGTGATAATTGGAAAATCGTGTATTTACAGCCATGACTTACTGTAGGTTATCTATTTCAGTTTGCCCATGAAATTTTATGCTGTATTTTTCAAAACATTCGTTCTTATGATCTTTGTAGTAAATGTAAAGGCTAAAGGACTTTTCACACTAGACAAGTAACCTATTATTATTGCAGCTGTTCACACCGACCATATACGTTTTTGAAGACAAATTTGCGACATGTATTGCGACAGCTGATTTTTTGCATGTGAATAAACAGATCTGACCAGTCAGATTGTGACTAGCTCAAAATGTGCACCAGTACTGAATATACAATGATATGGAAATAATACTATTTTATAGACTCTGAAATTAACTGCCTCCCCAGGTCCCAATTCTGCCAACAAGAGCTCAAACGACACTGACATCCTAAAATAAGAAGTAGGTAGATCAATCCAGATATCGATAGTATCGATACCTATCCTGGTATTGGTATTGGATCAATTCTAGCGTGATGGGGTGGATACTTTTTTCTGTTCTCTAAGTTTATTATGTGACCCACTAATGTGTGTTAGATAATTTATTTGTAAATGAAAAGATGTTCTTTCTTATGTTGATTGTCACATTTATTTTATATATAGCCTAAATTTAACTCTTGTAAGGCCGCAGGTTTCCATTTGTGTAACTTTAAATCCTGATAGAACAGAATAAGCTAGAGCAATCATTTTTTGCATTACTTGCATATCGTGCATTCAACTTGTCTCAGGTAGCAGTGTCCTTCCACTAATGGCTTTTACAAAAATGATGTAAAAAGCACATCCAACAACAAAAACATGATCCAGAAATACACTTTGCCAATCTGATCTGATCTGTTCATAGGACTTCTTACGTTGGAATAAAGTTC